CCTTCCTTTAGTGTCTGGAGTGGCTGCCCTGCGTGCCCCTCTGACCGTGGCCCTGCCTCCTGCTTCTCCCTGGGCTTCCCTCACCGCAGCTGCCAAAGCCTCTTGTCAAACTTTTTTTGTTAATTGGTTTGTGGTCACGTATATCGGCACGTACTTGCAAAGCTCTCAGTCTTGGCCACGAGACTGCAGCGATCGTTAGTCTTCCTCCCTCGTGTAGATTGTTCTAGCTTTTCTCCCTCAACAGCATAGTTTTCCAGTCTGGAAAACGGGCTTGAAAATATTTTCAGCTTTTATGGTACCAGACCAAATTGATTTCTAGGTAACCGTAGTACTCAGTAAAGGAAAGGACAGTTTAGTTTCCCGGAGAGAGCTTGCTTGTTTTCCTTCTTCCTTGGGCAGGCTGTCCACTGTGACCAACCTGGGAAGAGTCTTGTGGGTGAATGTCCTCAACTCCTGGCACTCCTAACTGGCCTTTAATGCCACGTTCCATCCATGTGCTTGGGGAGATGCCATGCGGCGACCAGTGTAGCACTCTCTCCCGGCAGTCAAAGAGAAGAGGGTGGGCGAAAGAGCTCACCGTTCTTTCTGAACTGAGGTTTCTTCTCAACTAACTTGCAGACTTCAGGCAGTATGTGCTGGATGGCAAGGGAAGAGAAATAAACTAACCATCATGTGTCAGGAAACACAAGACAAAATGATGCTTTATTGTTCAGGAGCCTTTATATGCCTTTTGGAAGCTCAGGCAAAAAAAGAAGAAGTCTCCATAGTCTGATTTTCAAACAAAAATAAAACTTTACGGTGGCTTCCTAGTGGATCATGACAAGAGTTGCACCACTCAGATTCTGAAAGAATGAATGTATTTCTGACCGATGGTTCACAAAAAAAGAAGCCGCTTGAGAGTATGTTGCCAAATTGGCTTGTACTACCCTGTTTCCCTGAAAATAAGACCTACCCCAAAAATAAGCCCTAGCATGATTTCTATGCATTTGTGGTATAAGCCCTAGTGTGTCTTCTTGAGAAAAAATAAATATAAGACAGTCTCTTATTTTCGGGGAAACACGGTAGTAAGTTGGGAAATGGAGGTAGTTTTGCATGCTACTCGGCAGGAGGCTTTCTTGTTCAATGGTCAGCTCTATATTAGAAGCTCTTTGTTACGGTAGAAGTCTGCATATGTATGGGTGGCAGAGAAGACTGTGCGCTAGAAAAACATCAAGCACTTAAGTCACCCCCCCAAAAAGAGAAAATAAAAGTATTCATTTTCTCTATTCAGTATTACATAATCACTATGCCTTACCTGCTAATTTCTTATCATTGCTTTTTCATAATTCACATATCACAGAATACTAAAATTATTCAAAAGAGCTCTGCAGGGGAAAAAAAACTGGGATGTTGTTTTGTGTCGGAAGTCTGCAATGGAACCTGTTATTTCATTTTGCCATTTCCCCTAAATTTGATTCTACTTAGGTTTAACATGTTAATTGTTCAGAAGTGTGCAAAAATTTATATTCCTTGTATTTCATTGTCCCATTTTGAACGACAAGGGCATCAGCCACCTGTTTTGTGTGTACATACTGGATGTATAACATGTTAAAAGCCAGGATTGAAACAGCTCCACGCGCAAGCAGGAAGTGTGTGTCTCCTTGTAGTGGGAAGAGGCTGCCTTTTTTCTTTTTCTTTTTTGCTGTTGGCCATCCAACTGCAGTCCATTTCGCCGCGCTGAATCCAATCCCACAGTAGTGAGAGACATGTGTTGCGGGGAGAGCAGAAGGGCCCAGCTCTCTGGCACCCATCCCACATGGATATTCTCAACCATTTAGCATACTCATTTACAAAATGAAGCTGGATCAGTCAAACTCTTAACCAGAGAAGATTATATATTTGGATAAAAGTAGTGTGTGACCTGAAGTGCGGCTATATGAAATGCCAAGTTAATGCAGAAGGTCTCAGGTTCAATCCCTGGCGTCTCTCGTGAAAAGGACCAGGTAGTGGGTTATGTGAAAGATCTTCGCCTGAGACCTTGGAGAGAGCCCACTGTACAGTGCTGACTTTGATTGTCTGGCGGTCTGATCCAGTATAAGACAGCTTCATGTGACATTTGGAATGGTTTTTTTAAAAAAACGTAATAATGGATATTTTCTCCATTTGTTTAATTTTAACCTCACTCCTCAAAAATAAAGTTAGGAGATTACTACTTCTAACGTCTAAACAAAACGCGGCGCTGGTGCAGTAGTTAAGTACGGTGCCTGTGAGCATGTGCTGTGGGTGTCTTTGCCTCGTCAGCAAATACTACAGAATGCCCCAACATGTTTACGACCACTGGGGTTGGATTCTGGTACCTCATTTTAAAAATCAGCTCCAAAATATTCCTCTATTTATTTATTTTTTTGCAGACTAGGAAAATTCTGCCAGCTCTTATTGTTCTAAGTTTTTTTCTAATACCCCAGAGTGTGTATAATACATATATTTTCCTGGTTTAAAAACTAGTTTGTTTTTTTCATTTTTGGAATGCAGTAGACTGCACTAAGCTCACAGCCAATTACCGACATCATTGGGCTTTTAAAAAGCACCTTACTTTTCATATTTTATAATGTGGTTGAATGCCTGTTTCTTAAAAAAAATTATGCAAACTCTAGCAGTCTTTCAAAGGGGGATGTAATTTTTTTCAGTGTGCTTGAAATGTACGGCATTAACATGCTTTCCAAAGTTCTCTAAGGGATTGCTCACCCCATACTTAATTTTTCCAGTTCGGAATAGGTGGCTGAGTGTCCTCAAATATTTTTTTAAAAATCTTCACAAAGTGGCAGACTGTCTTTCATAAAACAAATCTGGCTGTGATAGGTTCTCATTCAGACAGGAGAATGGGAATTGCCTTGCACAAAAAATGTGATAAGCTCTATAAAAGTCTTTTCTGTTCAGTGAATGGCATGACACACTACATCATTTAGAGCTTTCAGTGTAAGCCTTTTGCTTTCAGCAGAATTTTCCATGATGAAGAATGTGCTAAGTGGGTTTAATTTTAGGGATCTTTTTTTTGGGGGGGGGGATGAATATTGTTAGAAAGTTGCAAGAAAAAAATGCTCTTTAATTTCTTTAAGTTTCTTCTGCTGATGTCTTTCTTAATATTCCAATTCGCTTTTGATATTTGTCTGTCTTAAACTTTGCATAGAATGTCTTTAATGCTAGCCAAGGAGTCAGGGATTTGGACTTATTTTCCTGGACTTCCAAACCTTTTCTCCCTCAGGTGAGTTCCTAATTCTCAGGATTGGTCTCTTGTGCACCAGTATTTTTAGCATGTGGTGTGTGTGACAGCTGTACATTTCAGCCAGCAGTTTTCAAACCTTCTGCAGTTAGGGAACGTTTTCTACACTGACTTCCCTGCCACTTAACTTCTGCGTTGCAAGAGATGCCAGGCCTTATTGTAGGGTGCAGACAGCTGGCAAGGATGCTAGCTATTACCCTTTTATTTCACCATTTCTATGAATGAAATGAGGGGCAAAAACAACGATGATGAAGATCACAGATCTCCAACAGTGCGTAAAAAGTAAATGGCTAGTACAGCTGTGAATTGGGGTCACAGCTGTACAAAACTGGAAAAGATGGTTTCACCCAAAGTCCTGCTTGGTTTCAGTATTCAAAGCCAGTCTTCTTGCGCTGATAGTTAACTGTTTAAAAAGAAAAATTATGTGTCCTTTTAAAACCTGTCTTTCCCCCTTACCACCAGTAACAGTGCGGGAAGGCCGGTTTTGAATAGCTAGCAGGGTCTGAAGGCTTAGTCCTTCCTCGGCCTTCCTGATCCGGATCTTGGGCACGCATATGTGCATTTATCTGTGACTTTTATCATGCCTAGTTTGGTCCTGAGAGCATATTTTGGAACATACCAAATGCTTCGCTGCAGCTGCACACTGCAGGGGAATCTTGTTAGGTTGGGAGAAGCTGTCTTAGGGAGGTTGTCTGCTATCATTGGTCATTGATCTTCTGATTGCAAAATGCCTAAGAGTTTTGAAGAGCTTCAGGGTCCTCCAGAATTTGGTTTCAAAACACTCATTCAGACATCCAAAGCACAGTACTGATCAGGCTGCAACATGTGTTCACATAATTGAAGTTAGAATTTTGTAAGAATAAGGTTTGATCTGGTATTTTTTTCAAGATGGTTTCGTTATTACATCTTTCCACCCATCATACCTGTACATTGTGTCTCCCTTCCATTTTTATGCTTGCTTGCATGAATAATGATTTTATTAGGTCATAATCTTTGTGTATCCCTTTGCATAATGGTGATGTGGAAAACTGCTTGTGTGACATTTCCAAGTCTTCATGCTGCAAATTGTACCTTGTGTTTTACAAACATTCATATTTTGTGTTCAGCAGTAATTCAGTGAGTTCTGAAATTGAGGTTAAAGGGCCTAGCTACATGTTAACATTTCCCCCAGGTCTGCCCAATCAAACATGTATTCCAATTTCTGTGCCAGGAACTTAATCTAGGGCATGCGCTGGCCTGATTTGGATCAGGACTGTGAAACTGAAGGCAAGAATTCTTTCCTCATATGGCCTCAGAGAGTTGCTATTTTCCCAGTTGGGAAGACTTAGGTGTAGTCTGTCAGTGCATGTGGATCCCGGGGGGGGGGGGCAAATACTGGGGCTATACCCTCTGGCCATGTCAAATTGAGACACTGGTGTGGCAGGGAGGCTTAAGCCCCCTCTCGCCATGTGCCACTATCCTGACATGAACTAGGCCCACCATGCCGGGGATTAAATTACAAGCATAAAACTTGCAATACGCTTTTGATCATGTAGACCAGGGGTCGACCTGGGAAAAAACGTAATGTTGGATTTAAACCTGCAAACTGAATAAATGTTCTGACCAATTTTTTTTCCCATAGGGTTAGACTTTAGTTGTCGCAGATTTAATGAAGAGGTGGGCTTAGTTGAAAAGTGCAAAGGCATTATTAACAGGATTTTTGTTTTTTGATTTTATTTTTTGTTTGTTCTGAAATTTTCAGGAGTCTAGATCTAATGCAGATGACTTTTTCAAAGACCTAAACTCACACTGCCCTCAGGAAGCGGTAATGCAGGAGCCACCAGATATGCCGTTCCTTCGTGGTGGGCCTGGAGTGTATAAGGTAGTGAAGACTGGCCCCTCAGGTCACAACGTCAGAAGCTGTCCCAACCTTAGAGGTATCCCAATTGGAATGTTAGTTCTGGGAAACAAAGTCAAGGCAGTGGGCGAGGTATGGATCCTTGTAGCTTCAGTTATTGTCTTCATAGATACTGGGTTTAATAATCATAAGTAAAGCAGCTGTACTACGCAAGGTTTCCTTTTCCCTCCTGGGTTGCTAAATGTTAACTCTTCGAAGGTTGGTTTTATGTTGTGAAAGTTTTATGCAAATCACTGTTGTCTCAGTTGTTATATTTCATTAACTGTCGTTAACTTTTCTCATACACGTGTTTCTGGAATATTGTTGGTTCATCAGAGAATGGTCTCCTATATTTAATTGCGTATTTCAGAATTTGCCAATCAGATTGTTTCTAGGAATTCAACAGATCTCAGAATTGATCTTATTTCTTGGTACTGATTCGACTGTTGCTTCCAGTGATCGGGCTTTGGTGCTATAATTCCTTGGGCTTGAGGATGTAGTGTGTCATGCTATTTTTTTTCCAAACAGCATAAGGGACAAAAGAGCAACTTTGTGAATGTTGAATATGTCACTATGTTCCTTTTTCAGTAGGCTTCCAAAAATCCAACCCTTGCATACTACTGGGTAGCAATCACTGCATGTTAATTGGGGAGCTCTCTGTGTGATCTAAAGACAGAATATTCTTTCCCCCCCTAATATAATCCCAACAAAGCATGCTAAAATTACTAATGTTCTTAAATGTATCAGAAATACAAATAGTTCTCTCTCTGTCTTAATTCTTCTTCGGTGCTTAAATTGAAAAACGCCTATTTGCTTTTGTTAGGCTTTTAAAAAAAACATATGGAAGCATATTGCTGTATCTTATCACTGTATGATTTGAAAAGTAATTTAAATGTGCTTTTTTGTGTGTATATACCAGGTGACTAATTCTGAAGGGACGTGGGTGCAGATGGATAAGAACAGCATGGTAGAGTTCTGTGAAAGTGATGAAGGTGAAGCATGGTCCTTAGCTAGAGACAGAGGAGGAAATCAATATCTCCGGCATGAAGATGGCAAGTTTTAATACTTTTTACAAAGCTGCCTGTTCTAAGTACTTGTAAATGAAGCACGGAAATGCCATCCAGCTGCATGTGAGCGATCTTAACAATTCAGGGTATTTTGCGGGGAGCACATGGTACAGTAGCCTTGCTTGAAGCTAAGCTGAACTGGGTCTATTGAGTGTGCTTCCCAAGCGAGAGAGCTCAGCCAGGCTGAGGCATCTGATTGATGCATGGGCCAAATGCTGGGCTTTGAAACAGTTCTACCAGGAGAGATGAAGCAAACATGATCAGGTGGATCCTGCAGTTTCCTTCCACAATTCGAGGAGTTTTCTCCTTTGGAGCAAGGCCTCATGCAGTGAAAGAAAGCCATATGCTCTGGCCCACTGAGGCTCTTAAAATACAGGAGTTCAGTAATTTCACATACAGGAACGCAGTAATTTCACATCTTTAAAGTGTCAACAATTTAAAATGCCAAATGTCATTATATGCTTAGACTAGCGTAATAAAACATTTGGCATTCTGATCTGTTCATACTTTTTTGTGATATCTTGAAAGATGTGAAATTAATGAGCTTCTGTATTACATAACCAGCATGGAATGACTCCTAATTGCTTAGAAGAGTGGATATCAGGACAATGTTACATTGTGATAGTTAAGAGCCGTTCTGCTAATTTTAATCGATTATTCTGGGGAAGGTGATTTATGAATTGGAACCTTCACCCCTGTGTGCATATGTTTGGTGTTTTCCCCATTTGAGACGTAATTAAGTTCTAAAGCAGCTTTTTGTTTTTACAGAGCAAGTTCTTCTAGATCAAAATGGTCAGACTCCTCCACCAAGCCCTTTCTCGCTGCAAACTTTCAATAAGGGGACTGGGTGTAGTAATGGACAAGGATTTGATTATGGCCTTGGAAATAACAAAGGTATATTTTATGCCAGTCTCATTCTTTTCTTTTTTTTTTAAACCATTTTCACTATGTTGAATGTTGCACTGTGTGATACCTACACATAATGTACACACACATATATATGTATATATATTTCAGAAGATCAATTAATTCAAATGTATTTTGATAACTTGGAATTTTTTTTTCTTATGACATGCAGAAGCTTTAGGTCCAGAATCAGGGAAGATTCTTAGGTTTGAGCTGCAGAATTTTAACAGGGAAAGGCAGTTGCTTAGTGTCATGAATGGGGAATCATGAAGTGTTCAGCCTTATTTAACAGGATGTGTTTGAGAATAATAGTTTTCACACTGCAGTCAAAATCACTGGTTTTTGAAGAACTGCCGTAAACTCCCAAGCCCTTCGAAGTCTCTGCCTTACAAAATGTTTGTTTTTGTGTAATTTGTTCCATGTTATAAGCAACAGAACTCACATACTAGATTAAAGTATAGCTTTTTCTTGTGAATCTACATCACCTGCCACTGGACCATCCATTGCTTGCTCTGCGGAAACTAAAGCTGCATTCTAGATGTGTCGATGGTTCCTCCCCTACGCCCCCTCCAAAAAGTACCTTAACACAGTGGTAATGGCAGTGGGTTTTGTACCCACACTTTACTCCTTGTCGAGTGTCTTGTTCTACTGGCATGAGGGGCTTGTAAGAAAAATTAGATTGTAAAGTTTTCATTGAATGTTGAATCTGTGAAACTGTCTTGTAACGAATTAGTCTCTTGCTGTATTTAGCTCAGTATTACTACTGGCTGGCTGTAGTTGTCCAAGATCTCAGACAGAGATCTTTCTTGGCATCAGCTTCTCTAGATGATTTCAACCGAAGATGCCGTGGATTAAACTTTGGATATTCTTGATGCAAATCATGTGTTCTACCATTGGAGCTATGGTCCCTCTCTCAAGACAGAGCAAGAATTTAGTACTAGTTGCTAGCTACTACATTGCTAGAGTTTGGCTAAAAGGTATAATGCTCGAACACACTTTATAAATGTCTTGCCAGCCAGAGACTACTGTCTGCATAATTACCCATGTATAATTCCCAGTGAAACCAGTGGAGCTTTCATAAGTATGTAACCGTATGATTGTTGCCAAGATCTGGTAATCATGTTAGTGTCAATGGATTTTGTGGGTGTCATTTTTATACCTTTTGAAGCAGGAAAAATTCTCATCTCATGTAAAAAAGTGCGAAAATGTCAAAAAGATAGAATGAAATGTAATAAATAGCTGGAAATAGATACATACAGAGAAAAGCAGAAAACAAAGATGAGGCCATCTATCTGAATTTTCGTAATGCTCTTCCAAATAAGGAAATGGTGCAGCCAGATGACACACTTGTAAATTTCAGGGATTACAGTGGGAAAAATGGGCTTCACTTCATGCCCTGAATTTGTGATAGAGGACCTGCCAGTTATCATTAGAGTAACTTGGTATTGCTTCAAGTTCAGTGTCATATCCTTGTGGCAAAATCATGCGACGTGGGTTTCTTTGAACATATACAATGTTCAAATAACGATCTCTGTACAATAATACTCAGAGACTTCATGCTTGTTTTTTATCAGTAGTGTCATAAATAAGTGTTACCTTCATTTCCACTATTCTTTAGCTTCATTAATCCATGATTCCTGGAGACCTTTTTTATTTTTTTGTCTAACAGTCTGATGATACATTTGCAACAGAGTCTCTTTGTTGGCAATTCTTCTTGTTTTGTTTTGTTCTTTGCATCTCGCTCTCCCCTGTGTGTTTCCACTGCTTGTGCACAGCGTGGTACAGCAACAAGAGAGGTTGGGACCGAATTGCTTCTACCCATTCAAGTGGCAAACTAGTGTGCCGTCTTGCAAGTACAGTTAAAGTAAATGCAGCAGCACACATCTGAAAAGAACAGGTGGACAGGCCTTTGGCCACAGATGCCCATATACCACAAGGAGTAGTATATTGCTGGATTTTTTAAACCTATTTTTTATCTGGAAAGCATGAAAGAGCAGTCCCATTGGGGATATCAGCCAGGACTGCTCAAAATAGTATGTCCATGGACATATCCTGCAAAAATCTAATTGTGCAGATGTGCTCTCAAGAATCCTTTCAGGCTTTTGCTTATAGAATACCTGAGTGGCTTTTTTCAGCTTATTGGCTGCTGTTATTCGTGTGCTGTTTTCATGTTCTTAATTTTACAAATTAAAGGATGGAAACCAGTGATCCTCCTGTTAATGACCAGAGAGCAGTCTTCCACTTCTAGCATTCTTCCTAAGTGAGTTTGAGATCAGCTTCTGACCACAAGTTTAGTTTTGTCTCCTAGGCAGCTAGTGGAGTTTCCCTGGATCCCTTCAGAGCTCAGGTCTGCATTCAGACATCATGATAAACCATTGTTAAGTTGTGATGTCTGAATGTGGAGGATCCAGCCAAAGTGGGCATTGTTGCTAACACCAAACTGGCGTTTCAAAATAGTGATTGTAGCTGGCTTGTTAACGACAGTATATCCTCAGCTGCTTGAGATGCAACTACCCTCGCAACTCAGAAAATCTCAGGTAGGTAGCTTTACGTAGACACGACAGTGTTGGCGAAGTGATTTCACCTCACCACTGCCGCAGGGGAGACACAAGTAATGTCCTTTTGCATATGGCAGTATTTGTTACAAGATCTTCTTCGTGGTCTCTGTGCTTCAGGAACTGGCGGGATCTGCGCGCCCGTCCCTCTGGGCATGCGTGCTGGGGTTCTTGCGCATGCTCAGTGGGACCCGCGCGAAAATCCTTTGAAACATAGCTTGCTACAGCACCGGTTGGGTCAGCGCAGGCGCACTAAACCCATTGGTGTGAATGCACAGATGACCACTCGAAGATCACCAGTTACTGGTAAGCAACCTGTTTTTTTCTTCCCCTTTCTTTCTATCTGCCCACTCTTTTTCTATCCCCATTGTCCTCAGTAAACAACGGCACTCTCTTGGGCCTGTGAGGGGGAATTGGAGTCCTTGGGCAGTATTTGACAAATCCTGAGTGCTTGGTAGCTGTGGCGCCTAGGATTGTCAGCACATGCAAAACCCTTCATCTCTTACAGTCTCTTAGCATGGCCACCACACTACGTCTGACAGCTCTTGGCACTCCCCCTCCCTGGCTGCAGTTGGAGGGACATATCTAGTGTCAGAAAGATGCTCCTGACAACGGGAATGGATCAGAGCTTTCTGAAGCTGTCGGAATCCTCTCTCCAGTTATGGCTGGTAAAGGAAGGAAGTAGACAAAAAGTTGCTAGGAGACAGAGGGGCGGGGTGGGGGGGGAGAAAGAATATTTGTAATTTAATTCCTGAGTCCTTCCTACAGCTCTTCAGAAATAGGTGTTTTATTTCTGGGTTAAAGTTTAGTTTCTATTGTTGTGATGACAAGCAGGGTTACCCCGTGTATTATGTGCAATAATACTTCAGTCAGAGCATTCATTGACGAAATCACAAGAAATTGCGAAAAGAGGTTGAGATTAGGTTTCTGTGGCAACAATAATTAGAAAATGTGGTCACAAAAAATATGAAAACCTGCTGGCATAAAAATGTGTCTGGCACCTGAATTTCTGGGCTGGCTTCTAGATCAGTCTTTGGTCAAATCCTAAGAAAGTTCAGAAAGACAGAGTTAAATCTAGATTTCAGGTGGGGTAGCCATGTTGGCCAGAAGCAGAAGAACAAAGTTTGAGTCAAGTGGCACCTTTGAGACCGACAAAGTTAAATCTAGTCATGCACGTGAAAAGTTATCCCTCATAAGCACTGTGGCATAATGTGCATTTCCTCAGTTTCCCTCTTAAGAGGTTCTTGCACTGAAGGATGCAAGGGAGAAGTCATTCTCATGCCTCCAGAAGACTTTAATGGCCAGAACATCTGCTGTTGTTGGCCCAGAGATGGTCTGAATTGGGGATCTGATCTGCCAGTAAGGAATTGGACACCTTCCATTTGAATAAATAAGGGATCCTGGCATCTTACTGAGCATTATGTAAAGTTATACTGGAATGAGTTCCATGCGCACGAGGCAGACTCTGCTGCACAGCATGCTTGCTCTTGTGCTAAGCAGTTCTGTTTGCAGAAGGGATTGATGAAGCACATTGCTCTTGCTAAAATGGAATTGCTAGCACAAGAAGATGCACACTTCATGGCAGTGGCTGTCTAGCATGCACAGAACCCATTCATAGGATTCAAGCCTCTGTGTGGAGAGAAGCAAATTCAGTGGCCAGTGTAGGTCAAGTCTCTGGGGAAGGAATTTATTATGCAGCCACTTGGGCAAATACACAGCCTTCACTAGATATTACAGGGTGAACCACCTCTGACTTTATGCAGCGCTGAAGAACAGAGATAGGTAAATGGGAGGATCATCACCCACAGTTTTGGCCTTAAGCTGGTTGGCCTACTCTGGGGAAATCACTGCTTTACATATGCACCAATGCTCCTTCTAATCAGTGGAGTGAGCAAAAATTCTACTTTGTGAGCTACGGGCATCGAAGTTGCGAGCGAGCGATTTGGCTACTGCATAAACTAGTTTTCTCTGGAGCCATCCCTTCCTGAGCTCAGGCAAAAATCTGTGAGCCGGAGGCTAAAAAACTGTGAGCCAGCTCACACTGACTCAGCTTAGAGGGAACACTGATATGCACATGTGTGTATTAAGTGCCGTCAAGTCGCTTCCGATGTATGGTGACCCTATGATTTAATTATATACATACTGGAAGAGAAGGACTATCTCCTGCATTTGTTGCAGGGAGGGTCCTAACCTGGAGAAGGGCTTCACGCTTTGATGAATGGAGCGGTAAGACAAGTGCTAGGGGTTGAGGGAGGGGATATCCCTCTCCTACTTGAACCGAAAGTTCACACCGTCTCAACCAGGAAAGGATGCAACCCCAGAAATGAAAGCTAGGGGTTGAGGGAGGGGATATCCCTCTCCTACTCGAACCGAAAGTTCACACCGTCTCAGCCAGGAAAGGATGCAACCCCAGAAATGAAAGACTGCCCTCTGGCCACCTCTGTAGGAGGAACTAAGAATAAGTTTTAAAAATTCCCAGTGTATAAAATTAATGTTTTGTGTCCGTAGTGTCCATGCAAAAATTGTGCAATAAAAGTAAGGAGGATGGATCTTATTGAGCCCCATTTAGTTAAGGACCATAAAAAGGTTCCAGACTAAACAGGAAGGAGGCTTACGACACAATCCTAAGGACACTTTCCTGGGAGTAAGCCCTACTGGAAAGACTAGTAGAATTCAGAGTAGACCTGTTTAGGATTGCTCTCTTAGTCTTCTATACGAGTATATGTTCCATTTTCTGAGAAACAGGGCATAAGGATAATTTGAAAACTAATATTGCTGAATAAAAGACACGGGTTGACCTTACCGCCTAGCTGTGGTATTTCTTTAGCCACATACTTCTGTACATAAGACTCTGTAATCTGGGTCTTAAAATATGTCAGAATAGCAGTGGTCTCTAGTTTGCATGTTCTAGTTGGAAAATTCTCTCTCTCTTTTTTTTTTGGTTAGTACGCAATGCCCAGTTTTAAAATCTTTTTATGCACACTGTCTAAACAGCGACAAATAACTTGTTCTCAGTCCAGTCATACATGAGTTTTTATTTTTAGCTCATGGTAAATTTTTATTCTCGTTTTCAAATAGGAAAAAAAAGGGGGGGAAATAATTGGCGGAAAAGTGTTACGAGTCATTTTCACAAGAGCCATCCCTTCCCTCTCCCTCGTGAAAATATTTGGTTTGAATTACCCATGCGTCTACCAAATATTTCTTGGTAATTGCATCGCTTTCTAGACTGTGTCTTGCTAACGGAGTCATATTTAGTTACAAGCTTGCAAAACCAGCACAAGACTTTTAACTTTGGACTAAAATTTCGTTCAGAACATTTTTTTTTTTTTTGAAAATTTCAGGTTGTAGTGTTGACTGTTTTGCCCACTGCAGGTGACCAACTGGGTGCCCTACTGAATCCCATTCAGTCACGGCCTAGTCTCCCAGCTCCTTCCATCTTTGATCAAGCTGCAAAACCTCCCTCTTCCTTAGTCCACAGCCCATTTGTGTTTGGACAGTCCCTTTCCTTCCAGCAGCCTCAGCCACAGCTTCCGAGTAAGTCTTGTCAGCCTTTCCTGCCTCATCAGTCCATTTTTTTTAAAGCTTTGCCATTGCTGTAACAATCTTCGTCGCCTGCCAGCTACTAATCCTCCGTCTGTGCACCTTTTGATTTCTTTCCCCCCTCCTTTTATGTTGGCTTTCCATGACTTTGAAGCAAACTCCAGTTTCCCCCACAGTTTTGAAGGGCTTGCTCCACTGGCCTTTCTGAGTGTTTTCTGTAGCGCAGAAGATAACATATATACATTGGGGTTTTTTTAAAAAAAATTCCTTTGGGTTGTAATTTGGTTAAGTGTTTCATAATAGTTGCTGTAACACTTGAAATAAATTAAAACATGTGCTTGAGCAGCCTGTGTCCGTTCAACCAGTGACTTTCGATTCCAGGACTTTGTTGTAAATTCCAGTGTTAACTTCAAATGCTCTGATTATTGCTGCAGTTTCTCCTCCTCCCCCAACAGTCTTTCTCCCTGACCTTTCTTGGAGTTACACGTTATGAGTAATCTTACATACGGCAAAATAAAACTAAGATCCCCCCCCCCCATTTAATTGGAGATGATTGTCACCTGTATAGTTTCGGTATAACGGCTACTTATACCACCAGATCAAAGAACTCGTGGGCACTCCATGAAATTGCTGAGCGGTCGGGTTAGAACGGATAAAAGGAAGCTCTTCTTCACCCAAAGAGTGATTAACACTTGGAATTCACTGCCACAGGAAGTGGTGGCGGCTACAAGCATGGACGGCTTCAAAAGGGAATTAGATAAGCATATGGAGCAGAGGTCCATCAGTGGCTATTAGCCACAAGGTATAGCTAGGGGCTCTGGGGCAAGTGATGCTCTGTCTTCTTGGTGCTTGGGGGGGGGTCAACAGTGGGAGGGCTTCTAATGTCCTGGCCCCACTGGTGGACCTCCTGATGGCACTGGTATTTCTGGCCACTGTGTGATACAGAGTGTTGGACTGGATGGGCCTTTGGCCTGATCCAACATTGGCATCTCTTATGTTCTTATGTTCTTATCTTGGTATATTCTTAAGTGTACTAATATACTGGCCTAGCTGCCCTTGCCAGTTCATTTTCCTTCTTAGCTAGAGAAGGAAGAGCAGTCTGAAGCACTGCTCTGTGTGTGACGTTCCTATTTGGTTCAGCCTGTTCCGGGAACTGGATGTGCCCCAGGTAGTTGACGAAGCCTTTTCCCTGTTTGCTGAGAGCACCAAGAGATGCTGACCTGCACAGCCCTGAAATAAGGCATTATCAGGGCTATTTTTGGACAGGAACGCACAGAAACAGAGTTCCAGCTGGCTTCAGAGTTGGCCACGCCCACTACAGCCAAAACCTCTGCGTGTGTGGTTACAGTGGGAAGGCCTGGAGAGTGACCCCCACCAGCGACTCCAAGGCAGTCAGGCCGGGGCCCCCCTGGAAGGATTTAAATGCCTCCCCGTGCCTTCCCCAGCCTGTCCAAGGGCCGGCTTGCCCAGGCAAACCAAGGGAAGGCGGTTTAAAATGCCTCCCCTCCAAGGGCTGGCTTCCCCCAGGCTCCCCACAGCCGTGGGGCACCTGGGCAAGCCAAGGGAAGGCATGGGGTGTGGCCTAATATGTGAATGGGCTGCACTGTCATGGGGTGTGGCCTAATATGCTAATGAGTTTCTGCTGTTGGGTGTGGCCTATTATGCTAATGAGTTCCTGCTGGGCTTTTTCTACAAAAAAAGCCCTAGGCATTATCAAGGTGCTCCTTCTCCCCCGGAAGTTGGCAGGAAAAAAAGAAGCCAGGAGAAGGAACCACAGGCTTTACTTCATCCGGCCAGTAGATACAGACCCTTGAGCAGCAAGACTGACTCATAAACGGCTAATGCAGTTGGCCGGCATTCTTCATTCCTCCTCATTTGCTTGTCTTCAGGAGAATAACGAACCAGTTTTGCCTCAGTGTCCTAAATCCCCACCCCCCCCGGTGACACCTGTGGTTTGTTATAAACCTAGAAGTGTTCAGTGTCCGAGGTGTGGGCCAGGAGAGGAGGGGGAGTGCGCAAGCCCCAGAAATACTTAAAGCTTGTTCCCACAATGACGCCCACGGTTCAAATGCCACCTAGGACTCCTTAAAGCTTCCCCATGCAGACTGGCAAAACCAAGGAGAGGGAAGGAGAAAGGGACAGCAGCCCCCATGCCTCAGCTTTATGCCGTAGCTGTATTCTTCGCATGGCTGTCTTACCGCTATTCTGCGAAATTGCTTCTGAGCCCTGGATTTCCTGTCCAATTTGTGGAGTCATCTTTGCCCTGTAGGGTGAGATAGTGGATGACTTGAGCCCTGAGCCGGTTGGAAAGGGCTTTTAGGTCCTTGCTTTCTATGCCTTGTTTTGTTTAATGGTCCTGATGGCAAGAGTCCAGCAAAGGGGTACGACAGGATGTTTAAACTGTTGGCTAGCAGAAGGTGGCCTGTGGCCCTTCCTTGATCTTCTCCATAGGGAGAACAGCTGTTCTCTGACCCACAGACCAAGATTCCAGCAACAGAATAAATGGTAGCTTGTTGTTTCCTCCAGTATGGAGGTTATGTAGAACAAGAAGAAGAGTCTCAGAACGGCTTACAATCTCCTTTCCCTTTCCCCTCCCCACAACAGACACCCTGTGAGCAGTGTTCCCTCTAAGCTGAGTTAGTGTGAGCTGACTCACAGTTTTTTAGCCTCCAGCTCACAGATTTTTGTCTTAACTCAGGAAGGATGGCTCCAGGGCAAACTAATTTGTGCAGCAGCCAAATGGCTCGCTCACAACTTTAATTCCCGTAGCTCACAAAGTAGAATTTTTGCTCACAAGATTTAGAGGGAGCATTGCCTGTGAAGTAGGTGGGGCTGAGAGGGCTCTGACAGAAACTGCTCTTTTTCAAGAACAGCTCTTGTCAGAACTATGGCTTGCCCAAGGTCATCCAGCAGCTGTGAGTGGAGGTGTGGGGAATCTCCGTGCACTTAACCACTACACCAAACTGGCTCTCATACCAACCAACACCCCCCAAAAATACCCCCAGTAAGTCTTCAGTGTCCATGCCCTATGAGAATGTGAGGGAGGGGAGAACATTTACTCTCAGGGACCTCAAAGTCTCCCGTTATGGTTTGTCATCATGTCTGTAGAGAACTACTGTTCAGGGTTTTCTGGTTTTTCTCTGGAGAAGAGGAAGATTCAGCTAGAGGATGCAAGAAAGATTGCAGCTTTTCTCTTCCTAGTTCTGGCAAACATGGTCAGCAAGGAAGCCAACAACGTGTGGGATCAAGAGATGTTGTAGATGTGATTCTCTGGTCTTGAAGTCAAAGCTGCAGCAAAGGGAAGATGCCTGCTTTCTGTTAGAGCTTCCCTTTGAGCAAACCATTCAGAATAAATTAGTAAATCCATCTCAAAGGAGGTGGCTTCCTTTTCCCCAGCCCAAAAGGTGAACTTAGAAGCAAGTGCTGTTGATAAGAATGTAGCAATCCCCAGAAGTAAGAGAAGCTTTGACAGATTTTAGCCATTACTGGGCTGAAATTGAATTGTGCTGGTTACTTGTGATAGGAATAGGAACTGTCAGACTTTTTCTGGATCTTCTGTCTGATCCCTTATTTCCTGGCAAGGAGAACTCAAAAGTTTCAACATGATGATCCTGTGTCTTCTAAATTTTCCTTTGATACTTTGGGTTGGATTCCATAGAAAAGGTCCATGAACATTAAGGAAGGAAGTGATTTTTACTGAAAGAGAGCTGGTTTGGTGTAGTGGTTAAGTGCACAGACTCCAACCTGGGAGAACCGGGTTTGATTCCCCACTCCTCCACATGCAGCTGCTGGATGACCTTGGGCAAGCCATAGTTCTCTCAGAGCTGTTTTCTCTCAAGAGCAGTTTCTGTCAGAGTTCTCTCAGCCCCACCCACCTCACTAGGTGTCTGTTGTGGGGAGGGGAAGGGAAAGGAGTTTGTCAGCCGCTCTGAGACTCTGAGCGAAGGGCGGGGTATACATCCAATCTCTGAATCTGAATCTGTCCCTGTCAACCCATTAAATCCCTCATGCAACTCCCGGGGATCCCCAGCAGTAGGGGAAGGTGGGGAATTTGTGCTTTGCATGGACAGAATTTAAATAGGATACAGCTCCTGATACACAGTCTTCAGTCTTTTAATCTAACAGCAGTACTATCCAGTGGAACATTTGACTGGAAGTTGAATAGTAGAGTAGACCCTCCAGTCATGTCTGGAATGGTCAGTAACATATCATGGAACTGGACTGGACAGACAGTACACGTCATGGTGGAATAAATGCGGGAGGGGGGGAGAAGAGGTCAGGCCATAGACACAGTCAAAAGACTTTACATAAATTTCATATGAAAACTTTTGTTACCCTGCCGTACATTTCCTAGCCTTCCAGGGTAACCCAAGGGTCTCAGGGCATTTGTTGCCCTTCCTCCCGTTCAGAAATTGGATCTGGTGAAAGAGAGAAGGAATTGTGGAAGTATGGAAATACACCAAAGTTAGCGAGTAGTTTCCTAATCCCAGATATCAGTGATTCTTGACAAATAGGAAGTTACAAGCGTAAACCCATGATACTGACGATGAGGGGGGGGATCCCCCTACTTTTTTGTAGCACCTGCAGCCAGCGTGACTCCTGGGCCTACACCTCTGCCATCGGCAGGCCCAGCACAACTCCTGGGCTGTGGTGGCATGCCCAACACAGCTCCCACACTGCGCTGGCGGCAGTGGCATGCCCAGTATGGCTCCTGGGCTGTGCTGCTTGCCAGATCCAGGACAGAGCCCCAGACTGGACCTAGTGTGGCTCCCTGGTGTCACTGCTGACTGCCAAGCACAGAGAATGGTACTTTACTTTTGGGGGAGATTTAAAACCCCCCTCGTGTATTTTTTTTTGAAATTTTCAGATTTTTCTGAAAAATCTGTTTAGCATCCGTGTGGCCCCGATCAAAGGATTTAGCTACCTGCAGGTGGAGGCCACACATCACTAACAGTATATAGATTCTGTTATCCAAAGTTAATCAGTCTGTAGGA